TTGCATTATTGGGGATTGAACCCCAGGGTCTTGCTCATGCTAGGTATGTGCTCTGACACTTGGGCCAAACCCCAGCCCTTTTGTTTGTTTTTGTTTTTGTGACAGAGTTTCAATAACTTTGCCCAGGCTGGCCTTGAACTCATGATCCTCCTGTTTCTGCCTCCCTAGAAGCTGAGACTACAGCTGTGTGCTATCACACTCAGCCTATCAATGGCATTCTTAAACCCAGACTCTCTCTATACTTCTGCTTTGTTTTATGTATTGACTTTCCAGCTTCATGCTTATTTCCTCATAGTTTCAAGATGGCTGCCACAGGATCAGGGATCATGTCTTCACAACCTGCATTCCAAATTGGAACAGAGGGAGAGGCAGTACCTATAGTGCCCCTTTATAGTTCATGAGGAAGCAAAGCTTTCCCTCCGAGTTCCTCAATTCATCTCAATACCAGTCCATGGCCATTTTTAGCCACCTGGGGATGGGGAAGAGAAGGGAAGCTCAGCGTGACCTCAGTCCTCCCCCTAAATCTACCACACCAGTCACTCAAATTTTATCCTTTTTCATATTTTATCATATTTACTTCCCCTCTTTGGGGGTTATAGTCATGCTTTAAATAGTTACAAAAAGGAATTTGTCCTTTACAATATTATTTCAGCCATTTTTCCCACTTAAACATTTATTTTTTGGTGGTACTGGGATTTGAGCTCAGGACCTCATGCTTGTTAGGCAGGCGCTCTACCATTTGAGTCATTTGGACACCAGCTCTCTACTCCCAATGTTATGACCATCAAAACAACTGACATTATTATTTTAATGCCTGCAAGTCATTTCATTCCGTGCATGCGCCATAACTTAACAACACGGCAACTTCATTTTCTTACAATATATCCGGAGAACTGTTTTGCTAGACAAAGGCTGTGTACCATAAAAATTGTCTGAATATTGTCTGACAACCACAGCCTTATGGAAGGCAATTACCCAAGAACCCCTCCAAGTACATACAGTTGTCCACACTTACCCCCCCGTTTTCCTTTCCATGATTTTAGTTACCTGTGATCACTTGCTGTCTAAAAACATTAAGTGGAAAACCCCAGAAATAAACAATTTGTATGTTTTAAATTCTCACTAGTTGTCCTGTTCTGTCTCACACAACACGTGAATCATCCCTTTGTCTGCTGTATCTACCCTGTATGCCCTTTCTGCCTATGAGTCACTTTGAAGCTGCCTTGGTTATCAACTTAACATTAGGGTATCATGGTGTTTTTATGCAAGTAACTATTGTATTTCTTAATAATAGCTCCAAACTACAGGAGCAGTAACGCTGGCAATTCAGATATGCCAAATACAAGCCTTGAAGTGCTTCTATTAAATGAAAAGGTGAATGTACAATAAGAGAGAGAGCGCATAGTCACCACTTTTACTATAATATATTGCTATAATTTTTATTATTAGTTATTGTGGTTAATTCCTCTCTATGCCTAATTTATAAATTTTATCATAGACATGTATAATAGAAAAAAACATAGTACAGGGATACATCCAATTCTGTGACCATCACAGACTGTACTCACACAAACTGAAATGACTACAACAGCTCTGGGCTATATAACTTTTTGTATCATTAGGTATTTGTTTTAATTGAGATATAATTTATGTAAAATAAAACAGGCTTTAGATGTTCGGTTCTGCAACTCTAATTAAGACACAAAACAGTTCCATCTCCCCAATGAATTGGTTTCATGGCTCTGTGTACTCAGATCTTTGCGCCAGATGGGCAGCCATTAATCTTTTTTAGGCTATATAATCTTATGGGACCACTCTCATATATGTAGCCTGTTCTTGACAGATGTGCCACCATCCATGGTTTCTAGCATACACTAGAGTTCTTAATAAATCTTAATACAATGTCATTTATATTACTGGTACTCATCTAAGTTGTTTTAGATATGATTTACATTCAATAAAATGGACAAACCTTGAGTAGTTTGATACATTTTTAAAATTGCATGCACCTGAATAACTAACATCCAAATCAAGATGCAGAATGTTTCTATCATTCCTCCTTTCGGCCAGTTACTCCTCGTTCTCAGCAGCAAATGCTTTCTGATTTGTATTGTCAAAGCTTGGCTTTACCCATTATTCAGCTTCATATAGTGGAACCATACTCTACACACATTTTTATATCTGTCTTCTTTTGTTCAAAACAATAGTTTTGAGATACACCACTTTGTGGCACGTAACAGTTTTTTTTTCTTTCTTTTACGTCAAGTAGTATTTCATGAAATGAATATATCAAAATTTGTTTTTCTATTCTCCTACTTACGGATATTTAGGTTATTCTAGTTTGGAGCTATTATGACCAGAGTTTCTATGAACATTCTTGTACAAGTCTTTTTGTAGGCATGTTTTAATTTGTCTTGTATAGATAGTAAGGGTGGGATTGATGGCTTATAGGATAGATATAATTTGTCCTTATGAGAAACAATTGTACAATTTTACAAGGTGGAAATTTCATCTTACTGTCCCACCAACAAATTATAAGAGTTACTTCTTTTCACTATCATTTGATGTTTTGTAGAAATCTACTTTGTCTGCTATATAACCACATCAACTTTCTTGTACTTAGTTTTTTTCTAACCCTTTTTAAACCAATCAATGTATTTACAGTAAATTTTTTTCTTGTAGACAGCATATATTTGGAACTTGATCTTTTTAATATTGTTTATCCATCTCTGCCTTTTAGATCAAATGCTTAATCAATTTATATTTAACGTAATTATTGACATGATTGGGCTTTAAGTCTGCCACCTGATATTATTTATTATTTATCTTAACTATTTTTTCCTTCTGTTTCTCCTTAACTGACTTCTTTTCCATTAATTGGATATTTTTAGAATTGTGTTACATCTTCTCTGCTGATTTAGATTTTAAGGGGTTCTGTCTAATAGTTACTGTAGATACTCTAACATGCATCCTTAATTTATTCATATTCTAACTTGAAATAATATGCTAATTCATAAATAATATTATTTTAAATTTTTTATAACGTCATTTGTCCACATGTACATTTTTATTCATTAATATTCATATATTTTAGTTATATGTATGTTGTAAAGCTTATATGTATTGTTATTGATTTTGCTTTAAATAGTCAATCATATTTTAAAGAAGTTTCTTTTATGTTTGCCTTTTCTGGCCAATGTTTGTGTCATCTCTGGGTCTGATTCTGTTGACTATTTCTTTCTCTTTCTCTAGAAAGAACATTAACTGCTTATTTGCATATCTCACGGTTTTTTATTATATGCTGGACATTATGTGAAAAAGAACAGTAGAGAGAGTAGTACATGGTATTTCCCCCAAAATTGCATATTGCTTACTATGTCAGCCCTTTTGGTAGCATCTAAGTCAGCCCTCTATGCAGGTGAGCTGGTTCTGGACATTTTTGAATGCTAAGTTATATTCACTTGCCACTAGCTCCACAAGTGAGGAAAGACATGTGTGATCACTTTATTGGGTCTTAGAACTTCCCTGGTGGAGAATTTATGCTGTCAACTTTGGGGGTCTCTGAGGAGTTCTTTTTCGGTCTAGCGTTACCCATAACTTGCTACACATTGAAAGATCACTCTCCTTGAAATTCTGTCCCTAGTGTTTAAAGAGCTGTTGCCTTGCACTCATGTATAATTTTTGCACTTTAGGGGAATTTTCTTTAGGTTCACCTATCCTACCTTTAGCCTTTGGTAGAATGCTGCCATAGTCCTTGATTGCATTAAAATTAATTGCAGGAATATCTTGTTTATTAGGACTCACCTGTTGCACTTCACAGGTACTGTGTTCTTTAGAAATTAAAGGTTTGCGGCAACCCTACACCAAGCCAGTGTATTGAGCTATTTTTCTAACACTTCAGGTGACCACTAGAATATTTTAGCAACAAAGCATTTTAAAATTGAGATATGTACTTTTTGACATAATGCTATATTGCACACTTAATCAACTATAATATAATGTCAACATAACTTTTATATGACCAGGAAACTAAAAAAAATCATTTGACTTGCCTTATTGTGATATTTGCTTTATTATAGTGGTCTGAAACTAAGTATACCTGCACAATTTTTAAAAAAGAATTCCAAAGCATTGTAACTGAATCTCTACTTTCCTATGTACTGTCTACATCTTTTCTAGAGAATTTTACATACAATTTTTAATCAATACAAATAGTTTGAATCCTACTTTAACCTAAGGCAAGAGTAAATTTCTCAGGTGAATTGTATTACTATGCCAGTGTTACATCCAAATTCATTTTAAGCAAATAAAAGATTAAGAGAACATATGTTTGATAATATTAACAACATACTTGTTATTGGTTGTACAAATACTTTTGTACACAAGTATTTATGGCTTGATATTAATGTGCAACACCTCCCCACAAAAAAGCATATGCTACTTCTTTATCTGTAAAACCATGGTCAAAATTCTGTTACCTGAAAACTCCCATACCTGCATCAGAAATGCCAGAAGCAGACACCTGGTTGCATTGTATAAGGCTCTTAAACTTTTACAAGGTGTGTGATGCCTTATTGGGTTTCTGGCTGTAAGCATAGGATGGGTACAAAATAAAAAGCTTTGAGAGAGCAATCAAAATTTGCAAATAAAATTTAACAGATAAAACAGGTATCTAAGGTAATATATAGCCAGTTAGGATTCCACTGGCATTTCTTAAGATAATAAATATTTTCCCAGAAGCCATGAGCAGGATTCATTTCTGAGTTGTACAGTGCATTTGTCCTCTCCATAAACATGTCTTGGAAAGGACAGCTGCCTGCCTGCTGGTTCCCTCTCAGATTTTGTTTTTTGGGCCTTGTCCTCCCAGAACCTCCCCCCACCCTGGCAGAGAGGGGTGGAGCCTCCCAACAAGCACTCAGGTCTTGCAGTGTTATGCAGATGAAGGTGCTCTTCTGGAGGCTTCCCCACCATCTCTGAAGTCTGCTGGAGCCAGCGGACAGATGGACGGACGGACAGACGTGCTCAAGACGGGTCAGTGTGGTTCCTGTGGAGAGGCTCCTTCCTCCCCCACACCCTACTTCTCTCACTTTTACTCACTTCTACTCAGAAGCCATTTTTCCTGAGCTGTAAGAAATAGCAACGCCTGGCCTCCTGACAGCACTGTCTGGCTGTCTGTGGTCCTTGCAGCTCTCCCCACGCACACTATGGTTTAGAAGTTCTCTGAACTTTGGCTCATGCTGCCATTTTTGCTCAGGATGCCTCTCCCACCCCTGCTTTCATCCCCCAGTGTCTCAGTTAATTCTGTAAGACTGAGCGTCCTGAGTGCGCCCCGGGGATGTGAGGAGAGCTCAAGAGGAAATACATCTAAACAAACACCCTCTCTGAGTTACCACACTGCCCACCAAGTGAACACCTCACTTCAGGCTTCACACAGCACACCGTCTTCCTCCGCGCCTTCTCCCACTAGGCTTGACTCCGGGATATTCTGGGATGGCGTTCCCGGCTGATTCACTTTTGTGGCCACTATGTGTGGACACAGAAACCACCGTAGCTGATGCCAAATAAACATTTACTCAATTAATGTAAGCCGAGGCTGGTTCACCCCTCTCCTGCTCTGTGTTCTGACAAGATGATCGGTGTCACTTCCTCAAGGAAATTACTTCTACTTGCCCAAGAGTCTGGGGCAGAGAAACTGAACAAATCACTTCCAAATGCCTCCGATTCTTTCATTGCATTTTGGGAGAGGCAAGGTTGTAGGCCGGAATCCTTGCTTTAACTTGGTGAAATTTTCTTGCTAATCAATTCAGTGGAGTTCCTCTAAATCCAGTTGGTCTTTTTATAACACAGGACAATGAAATATTTATTTTACAAATCTCTGAGTAATCAGATACTATCCAACACTTGATTCTGGAACAGGCAAGGATACACTAGAAGACTTAGTTGTTTTGAAAAAGAAATAGGGGAAACACTTTAATTGAGGTATTTCATTAATTTTTATTTTGTTTCCATTCTTCAATTTTTGACAATGTCTGTCACAGAACATCAGTGCTGCATAGGAATGGCATTTAAGAATCTCTGTTATAGTTAAGCAAAATTATAATTAAACATATTACCTATCAGCAATTAGTTATTTTAGTTCATAAAATGTACAAAACTTTCATTTGACCAAATGTTTTCTTCCTGGCATAGACTTCATAAACCTCCTTCAAGTATTGGAGAGAATAACCATTCGCCATCTTTTTTTCTTCTTAGGCTGTGAGGTTGAGATTCTTGGTGTCAGACCTACTTACTGCCTAGAATATAAAAATGTCCCCGGATATCAATTTTGCCAATGCAGTCAGCGATGCTCTTGACTCACTCAAGTAAGTGTCCCAAATTCTTAACCATACCTTTGTCGTTCCTGTTTCCAGACCAGTGACGCTCATAAAGTGGAGAACGAGGGCCTGGCATAGGTGAAATAATGTCTTGGAGAGTTTCACATGGTGGTTGTTACCTGCTAATAGACTACAATTATAAACAGTTCATTTCAGGCAGGAGATGTTGAATTGGGACCTCATTTTTTATTCGTTGGACAATGGAGAAGCGATGTAAGTATCAGCTTTTTCCTAATAATGATTTAGTGAGCAATTGTATGTCAAAGATGTTAATAAATATTTGGCAAAAAGGGAAGATCTATGGTCAATTAAGTTTAGAGAAATTGCCTATTCTACCCCTTCCCTATAGATGTACAAAACACATAAGTATATTACAACACATGGAACAATGGCTCAGAGTTTAAAAAAATGCAGAAATGCTGCTCTGAACAGCACATACGAGTCTGTGAGGGAAAGTGATCACCAAGTCAGACAAAGGCTCAAGTCAGTGCCAGAGATCACGGAAAGTGGTCATCAAGATGACAGACCAGCACTAGCAGTCAGCACCTAAGAGCCTGAGGATGTTGGGGCTCCCTCGTTTCCAGGGCTGACCTTGAGGCCAACTTGGCTGTTGAATGGGTTTCCTGGGTGGGATCAAGGCAGAAGATTCACAGTTATCAGAGCATGGACACCAGGACAGGACCTTCATGCTCCCCAAGAAAGAGGATAGTTTCTAGCTGCCACACTGTGAGAGCAAACATACACTAAGCACGGTTTACAGATCACTAGCACTAGTCATATGAATTGGCCACAACTGACATCACCTCAGACACAGAGGAGACCAACTATGAATCCCATACTTTCTCTCGTCCTGCCCCAACCATCATCAGTCACTCCCACAGAACTATCTGAGGAGAAAACAAGGCCTCTGCCTTCACAGACTCTTAGAAATCACTTCTACGAAATCTATCAAGAGAGTCCTTTAGGGCACATAAAGGTTCATGCTCTGATTGACAGGTTGGAGAGGAAATAGTTTGGAATACTTAAAAATTGACAAGTAACAAATTTAACAGTTCATTTGTTTTTCTGCAGAGAGGCAGGGAAGGGGTGTTATTTGATTTTGCCTCCTGCCTACACTGCTTTCTTTTTCTTGCCCACAAGGACTGGAAAACCACACACATGGTGAACTAGAATATTGTGTTGCAGTCTAGTTTGTGCAAGCAAAGCAGAATAGCACAGTGTGCACCACAGATGAGCAGGGCTGGAACTTGATTGGCTTTGTACCTAACCAGTGCTGTTTCCAACATATCCAAAATACTAGCCATCTCTACAGCCTACTGCCGTGCCAAACACGAAACTTGGATCACATCACAGTTGTCATACAAATACCTCTAAATACCCCAACACTCTGTTTGACAGTTTGATCTCTTTCTCATTCATTTTGCCTTTACTGCTGAATCGACTCTCACTGTGTACCACTGAGCGGCTCACAGATGGAGGAGCTGGGAGCTCACAGCCATGAGAATCCCAGCTCAGTGCTGGTGACAAGCCGGCCAACCTAAGCACACTCCCTGTCTTCAGAGAATGTTGGAGGAATAAGTGCTGGGCGGTATTTCCTCGAGGGAAGTGAAGTGTTGTTATTTTCGTGGGCTTTTAAAATTCTTGCTTTGCTTGAATGTTCCTTTTCAAGCAACATGACAAATTTCTAAAATGCTGGCGAGTTGCGTTTTCACCTTGGAATTGTGGAGGATTTTGTTGTTATTGCTGTTGGTGGTGGTGGTGTATTTGTGTGCCTGACAAAGGCATTGGTCTCTAAAGAGAAAAGGCTACAGAGAACTGGGGATCGGAGGAGTGGCCCCAGCCTAGGCCTCCACATAGTGTGGTCCGTGAGTGATGCCCCTGGAGTTGGGCAGTGAAGACCTGGGGAGGACTGAATCAGGACAACACAATTGCCTTATGGGCATTAACTTACGCCAAAGCTAATGGGGCCACCAGAAACAGCCCCTTAGAATAGTAGATGGAAAGATGGAGAGCCACCATCTCTACTACTGGGCAGTATTGAAGTGAGAGAAGAAAAACAATAGACCAGATGATCCTACCTGAGGAAGCCAGTAAAATATATCAGCCCTTTCCCATAGAAAAAGGAAGTGCTTTCTTTAACCAACACATTCTTTATGTTCATCATTACCTTCTTACAAAGTAGACTAAAGACTGACAGTTGTAGGACAATATTTTTCCTAAAAAAAAAAAAAAAAATCTAGTGCCAGGCATTCTGGTTTATAGTTGTAATCCCAGTTACTTAAGAGGCAGAGATTAGGAAGATCTCAGTTCAAGGCCAATCTGGGCAAAAAGTTAGTGAGACCCCATCTCAACAAATAGCTGGGCATGGCAGCATGTGTGGTCTCTGCTAGGCTGGAAGCACCAATAGAAGGATCGCAGTCCTGGCCAGTCCAGGCATAAATGCAAGACTCTATCCCTAAAATAACTAAAGCAAAATGCCTGGGAGTGTGGCTCGAGTGATAGAGTGCCTGCCTAACAAGTGTGAGGCCCTGAGTTCAAACCCCAGTACCATAAAAAAAATAAACTCTAACCTTTATCCTCTTCAGGAGTGAAAAAATGATAGAGGAGAGTCTAGAAGATAGTCTAGAAGAGTCTAAAATAATCAAGACCACTCTGTACGTAGCAGCTCAAGCATGCAGTGTGGCTCAACAACATCAGAGTTCTCACAGTCATGTTGTAAGGGGACGATGGTAGAGGTGACTGCATTTTGGATGAGAGAGATACTTTAGAAGCAGACATAACATAGAAAGGGGTGTGGGGAACAACGGGGTTCCCAGAGAAATAACAAGCCTCTCACCAAAATAACGAAACGCAATGGCAAGATGTGTGCCCCCAGGCCAGGATGAGCTGACCAGACCTCACCAGGACACTCTGCTCCATACTGAAAGGGATGGGCAAGCAGCTGGCTTCAGTGAGACGTTGACTCTGTGCCAATCAATCCCAAATACAGTTTCAAGGTAGACTAGCTGGACCTAAGCCAGGCAGAAATCTATTCACTCCTAGACTCCATCTGTACTGTGGCTTAGCTCTTTTCCCTAAGCCCCTCCCGTGCAGGGAGCTCTGCTGGGCTTTCCACAAACCTTGCACTTGCTTTCCTCATAACTCCTGGTCCTGCGTCTTCAACCATCAACTTCACCCAGACACGCACTTACGATCAATAATCCAGTATCAATGTGTTTAGGCAAAGTTCTATAATTCTTCTTTCCATCAGGAGCACGTGCAGAAGTCATAGCTTACCTCTCAGTTTCAGTTCAACTCTATCTCAAATTCCTAGCTGGAATTTGAAGAGCACTTAGAGTTTTCACACCACTGTCCAAATGTGCACACACGTTTCTCCAAATCGCTACTGTGTATGAAGGGTATCTGCTCACTTTGCAGAGAGAGTGGGATATGGGGTAGATAGCTTTGACCGAAAAGCAGGAGAGACCACTGGCATCTTGAACATGGAGGTCTACACAAGCACATCCCAGCAGAGGGTCCACGCAATGCATGCCTGCCAGGAAGGATCAAGTGATCTGGGCATTGCCCTCCTGTGCTCAGGAAGCTTTATCCACCCAAGCCGCATCCCTGTGAGATGTTACCTTTGAACTCAAACAACTTTTCAGCACAGAGGAAAGGAGAATGGGATGAGAACTTGTTTTTAATACCCACCGCCTTGGACCAAAGCACTTTATTTCCATTAATCCACTTTCTTCTCTCACCTCCTCTACGACACAGGTGTTGTTCTCCCCATCTTACAAAAGACACCACTCGCTCTGAAAGTTGAGCACATTACCTTAGATCTCACAAGTTAGACTGGGGCTTTGGTCCCAGTCTCCTGGGTCTTTCCGGCATGGGAAGTGACTAAAAGCAGTTCCTCAGTTCTCCAACCAGATCCACACCCTCAGATGCCCAGAAGCAGGGTCAGACAGCAAGGCGTTGAGAACCGCTTCTTTGCCATGTTCTCTTTGGGGACATACCAGGTCTGGAGCTCTTATAGGTCCATCACCCTGGGCAGAGGTAGAATGGCACCTTTGCTGTCTGCTCACTATCTTATGCAGTCAGCAGTAGCAGCTCCAGTCACTGGTGCTTTCTGTCCCCGCCGCCACACAAAGGGACTCAGTAGGTAGCAGTCCTGCACACACTACCTCCTCACCCACATCACTTAATCCACCCTCCCAGAAGTTCTGTTTGCAGGATTTTCATAGTTCAGTGAGCAGGAAAAGGAGCCTGATGCTAAAGCCAAAACCAGTCTTAAGTAGATCCTGGGGTGGGTGAGGAGACTGCAGGGGAGGCAGCCAACAAGTCCTGGCTGCATAGAAGGGACCAGGCAATGGTGCGTGGCCCCGGCAGACTGATCATGCAGCTTCACCAAAGGGTTGGTCACAAACTGTGCTGCTGACATCCTTGGTCAAACCCCAAACTGTTGAACAGGGTGTCAGAGGAATTCCTTAACATCCCAGAGCCTCAGTGGCTTCTATGTAATAAGGGACTAGATGGATAAGACAGCTCTTTCCACAGGAAAGCTGACACACATTCTAGGCCTAGGTCCCTGTTCTCTGTGGACTGAGAAAGAAGGAGAGGGAACACAGGCTTAGGCTCAGCAGAGATCGGGTTCTCCTCTTCCCTCCTTTTCCTCTGAAAGGAAAAGAAAAACCAGAGCCATTTCTGTCCCTTCCCTCCCTTTTCCTGTGTGGCAAGTACTGTACAAACATTACTCCTTTACTACTCAACATAGATATTGAGTAGGTTTTTCAGGTGAGGAAACTGAAGCTTACAAATATTTTTTTGGTGGTACTGGTAACTAAACTCAAAGCTTCATTCTTGCTTGGCAGGTGTTCTACCACTTGAGCCATGTCTCCAGTCCAAAACCTCCTGACAGTTGTAGGATTCACCCCATGCTCAGCCCCTCTCCCCATGTAGATATTTTGCCATTCAACTGAGACTTCCTTGTTAGTGGGAAGGGAAGAAAGAATTTGAATAAAGATTTGTGCAGTTACATGATTTGTCAAAAGGTAATTTTCAAGTCAGCATAGTGGTACACACCTGTAATCCCAGCTATTGGGGAGGCAGGAGGATAGTGAGTTTGAGGCCAGCCCTGGCAAAGTTAGGGAGACCCTATCTCAAAAACAAAATAAAAACAGAAGAGCTGGGGGTGTGACTCAAGACGTAGAGCATTTGTCTGCCATGCTGAAGGCCCTGGGTTCAATACCTAGTACCATAACAAAAAATTGTAAGGTAATTTTCAAATTTTCATGTGCTCACTATATCTTTTTTGTGGGAGTTATGCCAAGGCTCAAATTAATTTACTACTGTGGAGTTGAGAGGCTGGTGAGCCTGGTTAGAAGGAGATCTGAGAAGCACACACACAGGTGAGGAAAAAGAATGGTGGAGAGTAATAGATGAGTATTGGTAGTGCAGAAATACTTAATAACACAGAAGACAATGAACAAAACCCCTGTAATTTAGGAGGTTGCTTTCTCTGCCCGACAAAAGTAATTTTTATATTATCAGGTTATAATATATATTGCAGTTAGCAGCTAAGTTTAGAGTGTGAACACTAGTTAGTTGTTAAATCTGATGAGCTTGAAGCAAGCTTACTGGACAGTGCTCCAGCATGGCAATAAAGAGACATGCAGCCATTGGGGGCCTTATTTCTAAGTTTTGCTTCATTTTCTAGCATCCTTAGCATTCCAGATGTGCTGATTCACACAGAATATCATCCGTTTAGGTGTCCACACTTGCATCGTGGTGCTTATATGCTGGGAAAATCCTGCTTAATAAGGTGGTGACATACTACAATGAGACGCCTTCACAAACAAGTGAATAATTAATCGTTCCTTTAATTTGTTTTCACTTCTCTGTCCCTAATTCTTGTGTCTTCCCAACTCACTTCCTTAAGGAAAATGGATGTGACATTATGAACTTTTCATTTTGCAAACAATCAAACAATCTGGACAGAATCCTAAGATGATAGGAGACTTGGGTGCCCCAGAACCCCAGGGCTTACAGGACTGGGCTTTCAGAGAACTAAGCTGATGGCCACATGGTCTTCTGGCATGGTTCCTGGGCCTTAAAGCTGTAAATGGCCATCAGCAGACAGCCATTTCCACTCATCTATTCTCACCCAGCCAACCAGTTACAAACGAGCTGGCCTGTGATAGAGACCAGACCCATGTGCAAAACAGCTGGCTACCAAGAATTTATCTGCTAAACTCCGAACAGTCCTTGGAGACTTCGGTTCCCTAATGAATCACAGAACCCTTTCACACGTGTAATCCCTGAACTGTGAGCATCCCAAATCAAGTGTTCCTGGCACCTGGGGTTGACAGCTTCCTGAAGTAAAGCCATCACGTAAATTGTGATACTTTCTAGTTTTCTGATCACACAGAGATCTGTAAATTGGTAAATAGCCATGGAGAAGCCAGTCTGATAACTGCTGCATTAAGGTGAAATGTTAAAATAAGAGCTAGAAATATTTCATTGAACTTTAATGCTGCAGTCTTGTCTGCAAAGACTCCTCATGGTAGCAAGTCACCGTTGTATTAAAAGGAGCCCACATGTGAGTCCCAAGCCAGAAGTGTGGGTACCGAAATAGATGATTTACTCCAGTGTACCTGGAGCGCTAAAGAGGCTAGAACATCCAGTGACTAAAAGCTGAGGCTTATCCGCAGGACAGATTTTATGGAAGCTTTTATGTTCTGCTGAAATGGAGTGGTGGAGGCAGGACCAGCCCTCTCAGTGAACATGGGCCCCAAGCAAGTTTCAGCATATGGATAAAAATGGTACTACCTAGTATAAACTTGTACCCACCACCTACACACTCATGGGACCCAAAGTGACTTTTTGTACTCAACTGTGTGTCGACACAGAGGGAGTTTGGATTAGTCATTCACACATTAGCAAGTATAATGATATCATTCGTGAGAAACCTCTCAATAATAAGCTAATCCCATCTACGCTGTGGAGAGGGTGGCAATGGGGCTTTTTAGTGAGGGGTCAGTCTGTTTTGTTCTAAAAAGAGAAGGGAACATTTGGCTAACAATTTCACTCCACTTGAAGCCAGTGTAGCCTCAAAACCGTTCGTGATGCAAACCCCCAAGTACCCAGCAAAACAACACGAAAGAGTATGTGACTGTCACGAGGAAGATGCCAGGCAGAACTGGAATGTGCACAGCTTTAGCGGATGAGTAGATGTGGGCAGACGTTCTAGGACTCAATTGAGAGAGGTAAAGGTATTCGTGCTCTGACTCTGGAGGTGGAAGGTTCTAGCATCATCCCAGAGTTCTGTGAGGTCCTGAATAACAACACCTGGAGCCCTTGAAGGTCTGTCTCTTCATCTGTGGAATCTGGAAATGCACTTCTGTGAGGAAAGTTCACTGTGGCTCCACACTTGGGTGACAGAGTCAACCCAGAGACATAGAGCCCCGTGGGTTAAGAAGTGTGTAGATTCAAAATCTTGCAGGCTCTGAACACATGTTCTTTCATTCCTGCTGATGTGACATCTCACTGCCACATCAGGGGAATCCATGCCTTGTGTTGGGGGGGGCGGTGTGTGTGTGTATGTGTGTGTTTAAAACATAGTTTTTCAAGAGTAATATGCCAGTCTTCCAAAAGTAATAATTATTATCTCTTGTAAAGTCCAAGCAAAGAAATTAGCTTTAATTTCTTTTCCATTGCTTCATCTTTTGTCAGTTCTTGTTAATGTCATTATTATAGTCACCACTGTCATCTGACCTCTTTCAGGTGCTTTATGGGGGAAATGGCGAAGCCAGAGCTGGAGGAGGGGCATCATAAAGGAAAGGGCGATGAGAAGGAAAGCGCGTGCATCACCCAGACTTCCTGTCCCCTTCCTTGCTCCATAAGCCTCCTACTCTAGTCACTGCCACTGGCTTCCGGCCCTTCTTGGCCAAGAAGGGCTAAGCTTGGATTTTTACCATTGATACTCTTGCCAAGAAAGGGTGGAGGTGGGGGAGGCCCATGAAGCATGGTTACCACTAGAATTCAGTCTGTGTTCACATTGGACCTTTCACATGTCTCCACAGAACTAGTGTCCTGGGAGTTTCTCTGGTGTCAGGCCCTAAATACTAATCTGTTTGCATGTCACAGGTTGCTGTGGTGGTGCCATTCTGATTGCCAGGCCACTAGGCCCACAATCTAGGGTTGTGTTTAGCGACTTCTTAAAGAACAATAGGTTTTAAACCATTGCCTCCTGTTTTCTGGACCTTCCAGTGACAGCGGGTGGTTAAGATGGAGTATCCTGTGTCTGTTGTCCCATCTTCCAACTCTTAGGGAAACGCTCAACCATGCCATGTGGCCAGGACGAGGGTGACCACTAGATGTCAAGGCACGCAGCACTGACACCTTTTGGTTTGGTATTCCTTTACCTTGTTCATTCGGAATAAGGGCTTTGCCTGCTCCACAGGGCAGTGTTGGGGGTCCTAGTGCCTGCACCGGGCTGGCCAGCAGGACCTCCCTCAGCTGTGCCTCTCTCTGCCTGCTCCCTTAGGAGTGGCCGGGCTGACCTAGCAGCCATTTACCATGAGCGCATCGATGTGGAAGGCCACCACTACGGCCCTTCGTCACCACAGAGAAAAGATGCCCTCAAGGCCGTGGACACTGTCTGAAGTACATGACCCAGTGGATCCAGGTGACCTAAAGCAAGGACAACTGGTCTGCTATTCTCTCCTGTCACTCTCTCACTGTCTCCCTAATCATCACCCCCACAATATCTTCCTTCTTACAAGGCCAGTGCTCTCTCTTCACACGACAACTCTCAAGATGTTGTGAAGGAACAAAAACAGACAGCATGCCTTTAAAAGTAAGAAGCCTGGTCTTATTTTTCAGCAGGCCCTGGAATAGTGGCTGTGGTGTCCCCTGCCCCTCCCCAAAGTGCTTCTGTCATGATTTTGAACTTCCTCCCATCAGGGCAGATGAGTAGATTAAATTCAGCACTGAGAAAATATCTCTTCTGCTATAATTTATAGTTTAAAAGTACCTCGTTAGGACACTTTCCAATCCAATGCTTTTCTCTGTGAATAGTGACTGTCTTTGTCCATCCCTCAGGAGCGGGGCCTGCAGGACAACCTGAATGTCATCATTTTCTCAGATCATGGGATGACGGACATTTTCTGGATGGACAAAGTGATTGAACTGAGCAAGTACATCAGCCTGGATGATCTGCAGCAAATGAAGGACCGGGGGCCCGTTGTGAGCCTGTGGCCAGCCCCAGGGAAGCATTCGGAGGCAAGAAATGCCATGACGGGGTGGGGGATGCATCCACATCAGGGTACACTTCATTCCTTTCCCTAGTTGTTTGGCAGTACTGGGGCTTTTTCCTGTAATTTTTTTTTAAGGGGTAGGGTGGTGCTGGGACTGGGGTTTGAACTCAGGGCTTTGCACTTTCAAAGCAGGCACTTTACCACTTGAGCCACACCTCCAGTCCATTTTAGCTCTGGTTATTTAGGAAACGAGGTCTCACAAACCACTTTCCTGGTCTGGACTGGAACCGCAATCCCCCCATGTCACTTTCCAACCAGCTAGGATTACAGGTGTGAGCCGCAGGACTGGCTCCTGAGTTTTATATTGAAACACCAAGTACTGTTAGCTGATTGGACTCTGAGGACAGGTGACCTAGTTTGCCACCACTTACCAAGTGACCTCTGTCAAGTGGTTCATTTTTCCTGACTCTTCGTTCTTCTGTACAAGGGCATCTACCCCATTGAGTTTTATGCAGATCAAATGAGATAAAGGATCTACACTGTTCAGCTTCCGCCCAGCACATGTAAGCAAGGCCTATTTTATTACTGGTCAAAATATGGCTTTTAGACAAATGAGGGGACTGTGAGAGGTGGTCTTGGAATGTTCCTTCTCTGGAAGGAAGCTGCCTCTCTGATCTGTCTTCACCAACGGACTGGAGGCATAAAGGTGACGAGTGGGAACTGAGACCATGTGTGCAATGAGTCAGGAACTTAACCTCCAGTCACACCCTGTGAGTTCAAATCCCGGCTCCATCATCTCCTGGGAACTGGGTAAAATGCCTACCCCTCCCCCCCGCCCCATATGTGAGTGTGGTGACATCACAGCAGCTACCCTCTGGCTGCTGTGGACTTTGTGGGAGCACACAGAAGTGTATGGGGCCCACTGCAAAGACTGTGTATGTCACTTACCTATGATGATGGTCACCATGAAAGGCAAATGTTCCCAAGAGGGTGCAGTGGAATTCCCACAGTGCACAGAGGGGAGACGAAACTCTGCCTCTCTTCCAAGAATTCAATACCCTGGAAAGAGATGGGACACCTCTACTTACCTCACCTCAAAACGATGATTATAGCCGGCAGTATGGTAATCCACCCAGAGAAAGTGGGAAAGGACAAGTGACACTTTGGGCTGACTGCTTAGCTCTCAAAATTGCCTTGTCACCTCCCAAGGCAAGCTATGTCACTTCTGCCCATTCCCAGGTAAAGCTATATGGACCAGGAAGCACCTGTCTTTCCTAGGGGAGGTGAGGTTGCTCTAATGGAGACTGCCAGCCAGAGGGATCCAGGTGGAGGTCCTGGGACTATTGTCCCCACCCATCTTCACAGCGATGGTGCAATTGGCTCTGAGAACTTGTTGTCATCCATGGGGCACCGGTGGAGGCCAGAATCCCATGCCTTTGGCTTAGGAAGAGGTCCCCCCCCCACCCTGCCCAGCTTTGTACAAGATCTATGTGGAGGGTGAGGTGAGGGACACAGTTACCCACAATGCTCTGCTTCCAACTCTGCCCCATTCCCCAGGGGCATGCTCCTTTTTCTCAGGAAATGAAAGGTGCTACATGTGTTCACACCAATTCCCCATGGACTCCCTAAATATGAACGTGGAAAGAACATTCTACATGTTGGCAGGTCCTGAGGACTAGCTCTGTCTTCCTGGCGAGTATGATCATCTTTGTCTCCAATTTGGCACCTAGGAATGTGACATTTCCAGAATGCTTGGGCACCAACAGAGTATGAGCTGGAAAGAGCTTCTTCCAACGCCATGTTTAAGGCAAGCTCTGAGAGCAGCCTACAGCACTAAGATGTCACTCAAGAGTGGAGGCTGTGTTTGGGTGTTGGTGTGTTGTGTAACGGACAACCAATTTGCAAGACCTATTGTACATCATCAGCGTTTTCATGTCTCCAAAATTGTTCTGCAAATGTATCCTCCTTTCCTTAAGAACTCTGGACTCTACCAAATAGGATCACTTAATTCTTGGGGTCATCAGAAACTCTACTAACCAGCCAAAAGACTATTTTTCAGAGCTGAGTCCATAAATACAATTTTATAATCACTTCTACTCAGGGAGATATGCCAGATTTGTCTGATGGCCAGCAAGTCAACATCAGCCAGTTGATTTTAAGTTTAGCCATAAAAATTTAAGCTTCCACTAAACATTAGAAGAGTGTAGAAACTTTATATCTTCACCATGAAATTGACAATGTAATTAGCAGCAATCAGTCGTACTTTTAAGATTCGCATATAGGGATGAGATGCTCCCCTAGGTCAAATGAAAGAATACATCCTTTTTCTTTGATCTTTGTGGTATTTAACATCAGGCAGGCAAGCTTCTCATTTTCTTCTTAATTTAAAGGTATAGAGTTTTGATATAAATAAACTTTTTATTATATAGTCACTAGCTATTGTGTATATACAGAGGAATTATTATAAATTGTGTAAGCATAAAGGACAATGATATTCACTAAGAAGTAGGGCATTGACATTACCTATGACATCTCCTGCCCTCTCTTCTGCCCCTCAGAAGAAACTTCCCTAAATTTCACTTTCTAAATTTCGTGTTACCGTTTTTGTAGCTCTCTGTATGGTTTTCCCATATATATTATTATTTTTTGTAGCTATTTGAACCTTCATATGACAGGAATAATCCTGCTTATACTCCTGCAACACATTACTTCTTCTCAGACTGGCATCCCTGAAATTCTTTCATGTGTCCTTGTAGCTGCAATTCATCCATCTTCGCTGCTGTGTGGTATTCCATTACAGAACCACACCAGTATTTCTTTATCACTTCCACTGATGCTGGGTGGCTAGGCTATTCTGTGTGTCTACAGGTGCACACATAGGAGGAATTTTTGACATATCACTAGGGGCTCGCTTCTAGGTGGCTCGTCAGCCTTCCTAGATAAAACCAGCTTGTTTTCTGAGCTATACAGAAGTCTCTGATATTTATGTAATCAGTTCTGTTGGATGTTTGGCAATTTATTTCCTTGATTTCATGAAGTCCCCATCCTTCAGGTCTACTAAGTATTTATGCATTTAAGAAACAGAGTGCAAAACTGGTCATTCTTGGTTTTCTTTGCAGGTATATAGCAAACTCAGCTCAGTGGAACACATGACCGTCTACAAGAAAGAAGCCATTCCCAACAGGTTCTATTATAAGAAAGGGAAGTTTGTCTCTCCTTTGACTTTGGTGGCTGACCAAGGCTGGTTCATAACTGAGGTAATTATAAGATGTATGGCAATTTGCGCATTCTATCAAGCAGTCCCCAGATAAACAATAATGACCCAGCCTTTAACACCGACGAGATCTTTCCCATAGGTGTCATTCAATTTAGTATTTCCTTCTGTGGAAAATGCGAAGGCTGGATCGGATGACTTTGGAGACACAATGGGAACCCAGAGTCATGGTTTAGATTCCATTGCTCCGTGTTGTAATAAGCAGGCCTTCACTCACTTACCCAGGCTTCCATGTCACCTGTTCACTTTAAAGCAAAAGCAATTGTTTTGGGGAGTGCAAAGCAAGGAGAGGCCCAGCTTTGCTTTCACCTTTAAAAGAGAAATGTTTGGCAAACAGAACCTCGCAGACTCAGGCCCCCAGCTTGATTTTACAGGAGGATTATCTAACATTGTTGGCCCAAACACTGACTGCCTCGTGCCTGAGTGACTTGGGCAAACTCTTCCTCGTCCACCAGGCTCTTGAATCAGCTTATGATATGGGCCAGCGTGGGATGACCCCATCCTCCAGGGGAACCCACGGTGACGTCACGTTTAGAATTCATTCTTGAAGATGACATGCGTTGTTGCAGATGTGAGTTTGAAGTTGGTTGCATTTACATCAGACTACAGGGTTGAAAAGAGTAGCTGGGTAAAGCCAAGACCATGTAAGACCTAAGATTACTCAATAATCCAGAAGGGATGGAGCAGGTGATTAACCAGTGGAAATGCTGATTGTGGAAATGCCTTGGGGTCAAATAGGCTGGGTGTGGAAAAATGGGGTTCTGGGCCATGAATTTCAGACCTGCAGTGGGGCTGACTTTTTCCTGTGTGCTCATAAAAAAGGAAGCCCCTCATCACCAAGGATCTGAGAACAAAGCAGATCTGCTTAGAAATACTGACAGCACACTACAGAGGCCAACTAGGTCTTTCTGAAACAGACTGTGCCTATGTCTGCTGTGGAATTTAAAAAGGCCCCCAAGATTAAGATAGAGGCAAGAGACGGAGTTTGGAGCCAGCTTGAGCTACAGAGTGAATTCTAGATAAACTCTACCACGTGAGACCCTGTCACAAAAAAAACAAAACAAGCAAACGAAAAAACTAACAACCACCAAAAAAGGTATCCATGAGTCCAAGAGGGTCCCTCTGCCTTCTAGCACTGTCTCCTTTAAGAACATACTTCTTGTCCTCTTTACTTTACCACGCTGTTCCAAGTTCACCTGGAGTGAGTGAACTTGAGTGAGGTCGGCTCAGCCTCAGCCTCCAGCATTGCCACTTATCCTGGCTTCCCCTTGCATGGAGCACACTTGCAGCCATGGTGGCGCCCTGGGTAGAGGCCCAGCCACCGGCATTCTGTAAAGCCAACCTTCCAAGTCACAGCAAAGAGCTCACTTTTTGAACATTTTCCCTCAGTCTTAGCGTGACTGTGTGTAGCTGAAGTCACACCGAGAGCATGGGCCAGCGTCGGGAGGAAGACTGCAAGCATGCAGGGTGCCTTGGGGGCGCTTTGGCGGAAACAGGCTTGGAAGGGGAGGGGCATGCTGTAGGTTGCCATAAGAAGGTGGGCTTCCCAGTGGGAAGTCCTTGGATCCCTGACTAGGGAGGGGTCGGCATGATGTCACTGCTTCCCCCAGGAGTGGAACTCCAGGGACCCGGGTGTGGAAACACAGGGCCCTTCCATGTCAACAGAGGTTCAGTGTGGAAAGAAAATATGATATCTTCAGTCACACTTTCAGCAAGAAGATGCAGTCTTTGCAATGAATAAGAGTGTTGAGAGACACAGAGGTATCAGTTAAGATGCTCTTGATTGTAAGTCACAGGTCATTGGAATAATGGCTTAAATACTGAAGATTTACTATCTTGGTTAACCAAAAGTATGGAGGTAGGAAGTTCCCAAATTGTTTAATCCAGAAACTCAGTAATGTCAAGTTCCCGAGCCAGCTATAGGGCGATTCTTCTGCTTTTCCTTTCAAGATCACAAAATGGCTGCTGCAGCTCCAAGCATCACATCCCCTCAGAACATCCCAAAGGAGGAAAGAAAGAACATGGCTTCTCCTTGCACTCCTCTACTTTTATCAGAAAAGGAAAAATACACACACACACGTATCCCAGAACCAGGAGTACAGCAGGTTTTGTGGGACTCTGAAGATTATATACAGAATTAGGGTAAAGAGAATCTGTTTTTAAGGAAAGGATACATAATTACGAAGACAGAATTAGGCACCAGGACTTAGCAGCCCATACACCTGCAAAGCCCTGGTGCTGAAGTTTCTCAAACCGCTCTGCAAACCTGCTCTGCCCAGAAACCACTAGAAACTTCTCCCTAGGGCTCATCAAATAATTAGTGTGCCTGGAAAACTCCTGCCCCAGGTCTGCTTCGGTTCTGAGACCTGGCACCGCGCTGAAATGCAGACCAGGGGGCCATAGTCGCAAGACAAAAGACAGGCAGAGGCAGGAACTAGGCGGACAGGGTCCCCCAAACAAAGGACAGCACAGGAGAACCATTCCACCTGGCAGTGCCCCCCCACCCCGAGGAAGTCTGCAGCAAGTCTGAGGGGCTCCTCCTGCTCCTGGCACTGCTCCCAGCACTCCTACCCACCTCCCTCCCCTCCCTGCTGGAAGCTGGCAAATTAGTATCTTCTGTGGGTGAGGCCAGATGGTTAGCGTGCATACCGTATACCGTATTACTTGCGTGTGTATTACACACACATATGTTCATTTGAGTAAACCAAAACTAAGAGTCAATCAGTTAGCAAGGACGCCCCAGTATTTCACTGTGCAGCTTGAGAGGAGGGAGAACCCCATAGAACGGAAAGGAAGAATGCCCAGACGTTGACAATTGCTGGAGAAGCTTTTAGGATGTGTAATTATTTCAAAAGGAAGATTTGCGGTCATTTCAAAGGTATGTGAACAGATAGTTCAAAAAGAAAGAAATCTGAAATAAGATGATCAGAGTTTGAGAAAATAAGACTATCCCCGGAAGATTAGTGTTGACTCACTAATGCAGAGACGTGGATGGCAACCCACACACCTTAAATTAGTAATGATGACTACTGTAAAACCAGTCTTTAGGGGCCAGGTGTGGTGGTGCACACCTGTAATCCAAGCTACTCAAGAGGCAGAGGTAGGAGGATCTCTATCCCAGGCCAGTCCTGGAAAAAGCATGAGACTTTATGTGAAAAGCTAACCAAAAAGCAAAGGGACTAGAACATGGTTCAGATGGTGGAGTGCTTGCCCAGCAAGTGTGAGGCCCTGAGTTCAATCCCCAGGACTGAAATAACTTTAGTCACTAATGACAACAAGAAAATAAGCTTAGCTATTTTGAACTAAGTACTTCTTGGTTACTGTTTCTAATTCTTTCAGTGACTCTGCATTGTGGACATTGTTAGCTCTGAAAATAACATATCAGAACATAAAATGAAACCCAAGCATGGGTCAGGACTTCTCAGTAGCCAAACCAAAGACGAAAGTGCAAGCAGTTGTGTCAGTGTAACTTCGGGGTCTGTAACACGTGAGCACAAATGTTTCTTGGGACAGCCAGAATCATCCCTGAGTCCTGAGAGAAATTTCCATCCCTTTCAGTCACTCCTTTTTTTAAACTTCAGTTCCTCCGCTGAGTCCCTCCTATTTTACTCCCATTCTTGAATTTATATCTTTTTATTGCTAAGACAGCACATGTACAAGTCATCGTTTCTGATTCTACTTTAAACATCACCTTGGGAATGTATTTATTCGTTTTCTGAAAAATCCTGAAAACAAGTACCCATTCTTCCTTATTGGCTTGGAATTTTCCTCTGCACAACCCTGTTCTTGATTTTACTTTCTTGACTGCAGTAAACTGAAAACTGCCTTCTGCACCCTTGCTCCTGCTCTGCACCACGGCTGTTAATCTCTCTCGTTCCTATTTGCAAAGTTTCTTCTCATATCGTAAAAAGAGTCCTGTTTTGCTCGGTGACATAAATACCAGGCCACAAGGCATCCGGGTCACACCCCTGTGCTGTGCGGCAGGAAGGAATTCTCAGTCCTGACAGCATCCTCGCTGGGGTTCAGTATGGATGGCAGATGACTCTGTTTTCTGCTTTTGACATGATTGGGAAAACAGTTGAGTCAGGACAAGTCAAAGCTGGGTGATAGCCAAAAAAAAAAAAAAAAAAGTGAATTCCTTCCCCTTTTTCCTCTCCTCCTCCAGCCGCACCCCCCAACATGGACGGTTGGGGTGCTTTGGTAAAAATGTCTTTCCCATCGAAACACCAACTTTCTACACCAATTTAAGTTTTGCAGACTCGAAAGCAGCTGCTCCAACAGGAACACTTAACCAAGTCCATTCCCTGTCATCACGTTGAGAGCTGTCACGAAAAGGATACGGACAGGGAAATGGCTGAATCTGTCACCTGGAATTTGCATTGGGTCCAGTGTGAATTTTGGTCTCTGGCTTGCTTCTGCTGTGGTGTGGTTTAACATGTAAGCCAGACTTAAAACTAGTGTTAGTGCCTTTCTGTTCTGAACAGGCAGAAATCTGAAAGTGTCCATATTCCTAGAGGACTAAACATGAAGGAAAAGCGTGTGTGTGTGTGTGTACTGACAGAGGTCAGAGGTCAAGCCCAAGCCTGTCCCACCAGTCTAGCTCTTCTCTTCAAGAACAGGAAATGGGATTCTTAACTGATGCCTCTCTCCTCCTTTCCTAAGACCTGACTGCTTCCTCAGAAAGGCTTTTCATTGCTTCTTCCTCCCAGGGATTGAGGGTCACATTCAGTTTCTTTTCTTTTTTTTGGCAGTACTAGGGTTTGAACTCAGGGCCTTATGCTTGCTCTACTAATTGAGCCAGGCCCTAGTTCCTTGTTTTTGAGATAGAGGCTCACTAACTTTTGCCTGGGCTGGCCTGGAACCTCACTCCTCCTGTTTCTATCTCCCAAGGAGCTAGGATTACAAGTGTATGCCACCACACCTCACCTGAGGGTCACACTCTTTGCTTGAACACCAGAACTTGGCGCGAGTTGGTCCTGGTGC